TGCAGGAGAGGCTGAGGGGTGGGGCCGGCAGGCTGCAGGAGAGGCTGAGGGGTGGGGCCGGCAGGCCGCAGGAGAGGCTGAGGGGCGGGGCTGGCAGGCCGCAGGAGAGGCTGAGGGGCGGGGCCACAGACTGTCTTGTTAATCAGCTGTGGGTTCCCTTCCCTGTTATTTCAAGGTGTATGACTTCAGAATCTGCCGAAAATAACATGGAGGGGGGGGTGCGGAGGCAGGCAGTGCCCTGGCCTTTCAGCTCAGCCTCTGCTTACTCCAGTCACCCAATCCGCCCCCCCCCCCCCCGACTTTAATGCCCCATTACCCGAGTTCCGTCTGTCTATGCCGGGGGGTTGTGTTACTGCTGACCCTGCGATCACGCTTAATCCCAGCAGCTCTGAGGTCCCAGACTGATGGGGATGCTCAGATTTTGGGGAGGTGGGGGGGGTTAGTTACCCAGAGGCAATACACACAGCACTGACTCAATGAAGCAAACGTGTGCGGGACTCAGCATTTAAACTCTGTCACAGAGTCACAGAGCCTCCGTTTAGCCTAAATGAAAGAGCAGCTGGAGACGTACTGCTGCTCCTTTCCGCCCTGAAGGATGTCCTCTACTCCCTTGGTATCTGTTTACACCACAGCCAGGCCCTCTGCTGCACCCTCATTCTGTCCTGGCCATAGATAGTCACAGACAAAACCATGTCACGAGACTCCAGGGACCCCCGATCGCGCAGGACAGAAAATGAACAGCTCTTCCGAGGGTCCATTTGCAGGGAGTCACGCTGCAGGGCACCAAGTCTGTTTACTTAGCTATAATTAAAAAAAACATTTACATTATCACCCCTCCCAGGAAGGCATTGAATGCTTCAGGCAGCATGGAACTTTCTGGAACCCTCCACGACATGCCAGAGCGGGCTGTCAGGGGGGATCCGATGGAGAGCAGACCCAAGTCGTCTCAGCTGTGTGTTTGGGACCACAGGCAGTGATGGCACCGTGGAAACGGCTTTGAACCCTGAGCCACAGTGCAGAGAGGTCATGGTGGGGGGGGGGGTCAGTATCGGGAGAGCAATATTGGGCTGTGGCAGCACATGTGACTGTGATCATATTTGTGAACTGGGATGTCAGAAATCTGAGCATAAAGACGGCCATGGAGTGGGGGCGGGGGGGAGAGAAATACTTTGGAAAGATGTTATTCACTTCAACATCACTGTTTAAACTGATGATGGCACTTTGGTACATGCACACCTCTCCTGTTTTGGAGGGAGCCATTTACAGGCAGGGATGAAGTTCCCCAAAGGATCCTCTGCCAGCAGGCGTGTGGTTCTAAAGGGGGATATATCATCTGCCGGCAGACCTAGACCAGCGTGTGATTCTAAAGGGGGATAAATCACCTGCCGGTAGACCCGGACCGGCATGTGGTTCTAAAGGGGGATAAATCACCTGCTGGCAGAACCAGACCGTCGTGTGGTTCTAAAGGGGGATAAATCACCTGCCGGCAGACCCAGACCGGCATGTGGTTCTAAGGGGGGTAAATCACCTGCCGGCAGACCCAGACCAGCTTGTGGTTCTAAAGGCGGATAAATCACCTGCCGGCAGACCCGGACCGGCGTGTGGTTCTAAAGGGGGATAAATCACCTGCCGGCAGACCCAGACCAGCGTGTGGTTTTAAAGGGGGATAAATCACCTACCAGTGGAAGTGGACCAGTGTGCGGTTCTAAAGGGGATAAATCACCTGCTGGCAGAACTGAACTGGCATGTGGTTATAAAGGGAGTAAATGACCAGCTGGCAGAACCGGACTGGCATGTGGTTATAAAGGAGCATAAACCACCTGGTTGTCCGGCAGGACTGTGGGCCACAAGAGGCTTCGGCCTCTCCGTGTCAGGGGGGAGGAGGCCACGGCCTGTGCAGAGGAGGACCCAAGAGGGGACATCAGAATCAAGAGTGGGGGGGACACGGGTCCGAGCACAAGGCAGTGACATCATCATCCGACAGTCACATGTCTGCCTTGCTGAGAGAGATGGGTCCATCCAAAGACCACCCAGTTATTATCCTCAGGTCAGAGGTCACGACAATAATGTTGAGCATCTCACCCATTAGCCTGTGCTCTGCTGAGATTTAAAGAGCGTCATTGCCAGTTTTTGACTGTTTAACTCACTGTAAACATGCCCTTGTGCACCCCCCCCCTCCCCCACGCAGATCACCCCTGGCAGTAAGGCGTCACTGGCTAACCTGTGTCCTGGTGACATCATCCTGGCCATCGATGGTGTCCCCACCGAGGACATGATGCACTGCGAGGCACAGAACAGGATCAAGGACTGTAGCAGCCAGCTGAGTCTGCGTATCGAGAGGTCAGGGGTCACGGCATTCCAGGGGCTGGGCTGCAGGCACGGGGGGGCGGGGGGGTGTGTCCCCACATGATGGATGTGGGTTCTGATCCTCGTTTTTGGCTCCCATCTCTTTATACTGGCCAGAAACACACAACATTCTCATATAATGCCATCATAAGGATCTTCCTATGCGTAGATATGACTATGAATTACCTGGGTGATTATCTACTGTGTATAACTATTTCAACCATGCGACTCGCATTTTTTTCTGACATTCATAAGTTTCTCTGGAAGACAGAATCTGCCAAACTGCACTGCCAAACTGCACAGCCTTCCTCTGTTATCCAGAGGAAGGCTCTGATAGGCTGTGAGTGCTTCTGATCCACTGAGTGCCTCACCCTGTGCTGGAACAGAAAATCCAGCCCATAAAACTCCCTACATTTTGAGAAATCCGGCATCCTCTGCTTCAGTGGAGCATGCTGGGAAATTGCAGCTGCAGAGATGGCTTGGTGTGATAAAAGACGAAGAAGACTGATTTATTTAAAGGCTCATGCATTCCAAGAGCGTGACACGGCAAAATCCTTATAGACGGTTCCGCAGTTGCCAGGGCGATGGCCAGGCCATGAACATGATCAAGGATTGGCTGTGAGAGCTGAGGTGGAAGTCCAGCCACAAGTGTTTGTTACTCTGGGCTAAATTAGGAGGTCGGCTCCTCTTTATAAACCCCCCAACACATGCCTCAAAAATGCCAAACACATGCCGAACATAAGTCAAATGTAAAAGAATGTAATGCATAAACTGGTTGCTGGTTGTTGCAGGCCAGAGACCAGGCTGTGGTCGCCATTGGTCACAGAGGGTGACAAGCCCAACCCCTTCAAAGTGAATCTGGAGTCCGAACCGCAGGTGAGTGTAGCACTCTAAGGGATGGAGGCTGTCCTGACAGGAAGAGGGCATTTTGCTGGACCTGGCCACCACAGACTGATGTGTCGTCATGGAATTGATCATTTCTCTGATTGAGCCCGCAAGGGTTACCTTCATTCCCTGGATGACCCACAGGGAATGAAGAATCAGAAAGTGGCTTTCCCTGGGTTCTGAAGACGTCCTGGCATCCATTCTCTAAATGGTTGTGTCTTGTCTCCAGAGCACCCTCCCTGGTCGCTCATTTCAGCCTGGTTTGCTTGTCACAGACAGGAAGAGGCCACACGGCCTGGATCGTTGCAGTTGACTGACCTTTGACCTTTTCTCCCTTCCGTGAGCTGGTAGCCATAGCCGGTAGCATGGGGTGTTACATGCGCAGTCGTGCTTCTGTCTGACACCCCTGTAGGACTGCAAGCCTATTGGCACCGGCCACAACCGCAAGGCCCAGCCATTCATAGCTGCGGCCAACATCGACGACAAGAGACAGGTGGTGAGCTCGTCCTACAACTCCCCCATAGGGCTGTACTCCTCAGGCAACATCCAGGACGCCATGCAGGGCCAGCTGAGGGGCCTCGTGCAGAGCAAGCCCGAGGGGTGAGTGCAGGCCAACCTGTAACCTGTGACCTTTGACCTGCCAGCACCTCTCCACCCTGACAGTTGGCATGAAATGTAATTTCCTTTAAATTCCCACTAGTTTGAGGACTTTATATATACACTCAGTGGCCGGTTTATTTGGTACGCATAGCGAGTACCAGGTAGGAACCATTTTTTTCCTTCCAGAAGCACTTGAAGGATAGATGAGTTGTGCACTCCGTAAATCTTTTCGGCACTATGTTAGCGAGCTGTTGTTTTACACTCGTGTCCTTCCTGTCAGCTTTAACGAGGCTGGCCGTCCTTCTGTTACCTCTCTTATTAACATGGTGTTTTCAGCCATAGAACTGCTGCTGCCTGCATGCTTTTTGTTTATTGCACCAGAGTAAAGCAGTGTGTGAAAATCCTTGGGAAGTGGTCTCAGGACGTTTCTGATATGCTGGAAGCAGCACATCTGGCACCAACAACCACATCACATTCAAAATCACTTGGATCACATCTTAGCTATTCCTATGTTTCAGTGATCACTAAGGA